GTGTTTTTATTTTTCTTGGACATATACCTAGGAATGGAATTGCTGATGATAAATGATAAGTGTATGTTTAACGTTTTCAGGAATGGCCAGAATGTTTTCCGTGGTGAAGGTGCCATTTTACATTCCCACCAGCAGAGTATAACGGTTCCAGTTTCTTCCACGTCCTCACCAACACTTGTTATTATTTGTCTTATTTATTATACCTATTCTGTTAGGTGTGTAGTGGTATTTCACTGTGGTTTTGATTTGCATTTCCCTAATGACTAATGATGTCAAGCATCTTTTCATGTGCTTATTGGCCATCCTGTATATCTCATCAAAGAAATGTCTATTCAAAGCCTTTGCTCATTTTGTAGTTGTGTTGTCTTTTTTATTATTCATTTATAAAAGCTCTTTATATATTCTGGATTTAAGTCTCTTATCAGATATATGATTTGAAACATATTTTCTCCTATTCATGGATTGTCTTTTCACTCTCTTGTTGATGCCCATCAAGCACAAAAGTTTTTAATTTTATTGTCCAGTTTATCTATTTATTCTTTTGTCACTGTGTTTCTGGTATCTTTCTAAGAAACTGTTATGTAATCCAATGTTTTCTTCTTAGAGTCTTAGACTTTTGGCTCTTATATTTAGGTCTTTGATCCATTCTGAGTCAATTTTTGTACATGGTATGAGGCAAGGGTCCAAACTCATTCTTTTGCATGTAGCTATCCAGTTGTGCCATCACTATTTTTTGGAAAGCCTATTCTTTCTCCATTGAATTGTCTTGGCACCCTTGTGTAAAACCAATTGACTATAAGTGTTTGGGTTTATTTCTTGACTCCAAATTCTATTCCACTGATATATATCTGCATTCTTACACCAGTGCCATACCGTTTTGACTACTATAGATTTGTAGTAAGTTTTTGAAATCAGAAAATATGAGTCCATCAACTTTGTTTTCGTTTTCTGGTGGTTTTGGCTATTTGGGGTTCCTTGAATTTCCATATGAATTTTCCAATCAGTTTGTCCATTTCTGCAGAAAAGGTAATTGTAATTTTAATAGGAATTGCATTGACTCTTTAGATCAGTTTGGAGAGTGTTGCCGTCTTAACAATATAAAGTCTTCTGACTATGAACATGGAATGTCTTTCCATTTGTTTAGATCATTTTTAATTACTTTCAGTAATGTTTAATAATTTTCATAATCTAAGTTCTGCACTTCATTTGTTAAATATATCCCTATATGTTTTATTTTTGGTGCTATTGTAAATGGAACTGTTTTCTTAATTTCATTTTCACATTGTTCATTGCAAGTGTATAGAAGTATAATTAATTTTTGCATGTTGATCTGCTATTCTACAACCTTACTGAACTCATTTGTTAGTTTTTTAGTGGATTCCTTAGCATTTTCTGTATACAAAATCATGTCATCTGAAAATACAGACTTTTTTGCTTTTTCTTTTCCAATCTGCATCCCTATTATTTCATTTACTTCCCTGACTTTCCCAGCTAGAACCTCCAATACAATGTTGAATAGAAGTTATGAGAGTGGACATCCTGGTCTTGTTCCTGATCTCGTGGGAAAGCATTCAGTCATTCACCCTTAAATGTGGTGTTAGCTGTGGGCTTTTCCTATATGGCCTTTGTCCAATGGAGTTTGTTCTCTTTTATTCCTAGTTTGTTGAGTATTTTGTCATTAAAGAGTTTTAGATTTTGTCAAAGCCATTTTTTGTATCTATTTTGATGGTCATGTGGCTTTTTGTCCTTTCTTCTATTAATATAGTGTATTACATTAATTTTCAAATATCGAACCAACCTTACATTCCTGGAAGGAATCCCACTCAGTCATGGTGTTATAGTTCTTTTTATCTGTTGCTGAATTTTTATTTGCTATTATGTGTTGAAGACTTTTGCGTCTATATTCATAAGGGATATTAGTCTCTAATTTTACTGGAATTTCTTTGGTTTTGACAACAGGATAATGCCAGCCACACAGAATGATTTGGGAAGTATTCCCTCCTATTCTTTTTGGAAGAGTTTGTGAAATATTGGCATTTATTCTTTTTTTAATGTTTCACAGAATTCACCAGCAAAACCATCTGGGCCTTGCCTTTTCTTTGTGGGTAGTTTTGTTTTGTTCTTCCATTAATAATTTGATCTCTTGTTATAGGACTATTCTGATTTTCTAATTCTTCTTGAGTCAGTTTCAATAGTTTGTGTCTTTCTAGGAATTTATCTATTTCATCTAAGTTATCTAATTTGTCAGCATTCAGTTGTTCATACTGTTCCCTTATGATCATTTTTATTTCTGTAAGGTTGGTATTAATGTACCTCTCTCATAAGTTTTTTATAATTTGTTCAAATCAGGATCCAAACAATGCCAATACATTGCATTTGATTCATTTGTCTCTTAGGTCTCTTTTATTACATGGATTTGCCCTCTAAATCTCATTTTTCCTTGATATTTATTTATTGAAGACACCAAGTCATCTGTCCTTTAGGTTTCCCACATTCTAGATTTTCCTGTTTGTGTTCCTGGGAGTCTCTAGCATGTTCTTCTATCCCCTAGATACTTGATAGTGCTGTATGCTTTATTCTGATTCAGGTTTGAATTTTTATTTTTTTTAAGATTGGCACCTGAGCTAACATCTGTTGCCAATCTTTTTATTTTTTTCTCTTCTCCCCAAATCCCCGCCCCCCCCACCCCCAGTACATAGTTGTATATTCTAGTTGTAGGTGCCTCTGGTTGTGCTATGTGGGGCGCCACCTCAGCATGGCCTGATGAGCGGTGCCATGTCCGCACCTGTAATCAGAACCAGGGAAACCCCGGGCCGCCAGAGTGTGTGAACTTAACCACTCAGCCATGGGGCCAGCCCCTGGTTTGAATTTTTTGGCAAAGGTGCATCATACATCCATAGGAGGCACATCATTTCCAATTGTCCCTTTTTATGAAGTTGGCAGTCATTGATGACCATTGCCTAGGTTCATTATTATAACTGGAAGAGTCTGGTTGAAGGCAGAATAAGTAAAGTGGAGCAGGTGAACACCATCAATCTGTAGTACGTGAGATCTTTGGAAGTTCTCTTGGGATCGTGAGCTCTACATTCTACACTATTTTCAGAACCTTGGAGTCAGGAGATGGAATCTACTCCTGGTTCTGCCACAAACTAGCCGAGCATCCCTGGCAAATCATGCTTCCTGTTTGGCCTGGGTTTTCTTATCTACAGAATGGGGGCATAGACTATACACGAACCTCTAAGGTTTCTTGCTATTCTAGCGTTCTCTGACTAAACACTTAAGTAGTGGACTTAATCTTTACCAAATATGATTTAGGAGGATTAAAAAGGAACTGCTGACATTATATTCTTCCCATCTCATACCAAGGGCCTAAAAACTTTATGGGTTTTTTATGGGTTTTCTTGATTTTTCCGACAGTTTTGAGGATGATTTTTTATTAATATCTTCAGCCATACCTGTTGTTATCTATATTCTGATTGTATTTTACTCAGCAACTGATTGACAGATGCCTGTCTTAGGTATCAGTTCATATAGAAAGTGCGGTTTGGGCATAGAAAGCTTTCTGGAAGCAAATACACCAAAATATTAGCAAGTGATTCTCTCTGGGTGGTAAAATTATGGTTCATTTTTTTAACTTAAGTCTGTATTCTTCATTTTATTCTGCAAACATGTTTTTTTTAAAAAGTCATTCTTAAACGATTTGATAGCGTATTTTTGACAGCATGCCCTAACAAACAGAAATCACTAAATTCTGAGTAAGAAGATTTCTTTCTCTTCCTATGATTCAGGTAGGCATTATCTTCCAGTCTAGGTTAGCCTAAATACTTTAGTAATAGGTACTTACATCTAATTAGATAGCCTTATTTAATCTTCTTCAGTAATCTCAGTGAAAAAGAAAATATACTATGCCTACAGAAATGAAAATTCAGGAAGAACAGCAGCAATACATACTATCAACGTCTGTGTCATAGCCCATATGGAATCTGGATTTGCACTTTTTGGGTAACAGGTAGTCTCTTTGCTGGAGTAGTGGTGTGTTTTACAGAAAAGTGTGGGCAAAGGCGGGGTGTGTCTTTTGTATATGTTGAAAGAAGGAGATTAGAAACTACTTTGCTAAATCGTGTTCATAACAACTCCCTGGAGTACAATTACTCTCTGCTTGACGTACCTGGTCAGTATGATCCACAGAAGGAGACAATACAGGTGTCGGCCTTCCTCTCATGGGTTTCCCCACCTGGCAAGGTGTTATGCTGCTGGTGTGCCCCTCTGTAGACACCTTGATGGCAGTTACTGGAGAACTGGTAGAGTCAGAGGTGCTCTCCTAGCTGTCAACTCACTGTGTGACCCAGATGAGTCATTTAGCCTAGTCACAAGCACCAAGGTCACTTCATATTTAATGGAGAGGCTACTTCAGTTTCCAATGTAGTCACAACTAGTGAAACTGATATTACAAAAACCCACTTCTCAATAACAAAGGCAGTATGAAAGTCAGCCTTCTTACCACGAGAAGCATGACCAATCCAGGTGGTTCTGTAGCCAGCTCTGACGCAAAAGAAATGATTGAATAGCCCTTTAAACCTTACCTGTTGCCCAAAGTGTCATAATCTGGATCTGTTCAGGCGTTTTGAAGACCATTCCTTATATCTACTAAGGACAAAGGCCACATGCCAAAAAGTAGGTAACCTGACATAGAGCTTTAGTTTGGGGATTTTCTTTTGAACTGCCATCAGTGCGGTCGCTCAAGTAACATTGGTCCATGCCAATTCACAAGTGGACTCTTGTGCCAGCGGCACAATCAAGCCAACCAAACGCAAAGAACCATTTAGAGACATGCAAAACCAAGTGAGGGAGCAATTGGCTTTCATTTTGTCCATTATCTAATAGCCTCTCCTTTGCCAGAATTTGACTTGCCCCTGGGTATGCAGAGCTGAAAAGATACAATTTTTACCCTCAAGGGAGTCAGTTTAGTAGGGAAAACAGAAATTACTAGACTATACAGTTATTACAATGATGGACTATCAAAAGGGACACTTAGTAGGTGTGGGTGGGCCAAAGAAAACTAAGAAGGAATGAAGGGAGTGTTCTTGAGCCAAACCAAATAAACAAAACTGAAACTCACCATTATGACAAACCCACTCTCAGAAGTAGAATATTGATTTAGACTAGTTCTCATTTGGAAGGGTTTATTTATTCTAATAATTTCAAGCAATCCTAAGTCTTTCCATTTTAACAAGGTCATTTAGAGTTTTAAAGATATTTCCAAAAGTAGGAGTAGTTTGACATGTGGGCCATCATATACATACACACACACACACTTAACGGTCATCCGGCAAAGTGAGAAGAGTTCATCAGCTAGATGAGAATGTGGAAGTGAAACTTCCCCACTGTGTCTGCTTTAGTAACAGCAGCACATTCCTGCCTGTGTTTGTTCCCTTACATTAAGTATGAAATCATTCCGACCATCGACTGTAAATCTCGGGGTGCTGCCTGCCTGTCATACGTGGGAACCTTTGACGATGACTCCAGAATTGCGCAATTGTGTTTCTTCTGTTTTTGTTTTTGCCACATTAACTGTATCAGGTAGTGCTTGAAATAGAGGTGGAATCTGTTACTCCGCCAGCTTACCGTTTAACAAGTCAAATGATGCATTAAGAAAGCAAATTTTTAAACTATAAGATGTGTATTTGCCATATTTTTGCTTAGTCTTATTTAGAGCTTTCTATGCCTGGATGAAATTCTCTTGCCTTCTACTGTTTGCAATAACTCAAGTCCTTTTTCTTCTTTTCAGATAATCTACTTATATTTATGCCATATTTTCTAGTTTTTCTTATTGCTTCATCTAATTTCTAAATAAACATAGAATACACAATATTAGTCTGTTCACAGTCACTAAACTAATATCCTCAAATGTATTTGGATTTTGTGAGTTCCCCAAATTTGCCTTTGCTTGTGCATGATTTAGCTATGTAACTTCCCTTGCACTATCTTCTCTCAAGAACTTGGCCGCACTGCATTTCTCTCCATCATTTCCCACACTGCACTGGCATTTTGAGTCATCTGGGATGAGGCACCCTCCCTGCTATTAACTGTGTAATGTTTAAACTCGGCTTGCCCGTCTCCTTTCTTTTGAATTTAAACACCACGTGAATTAAACTGACCTTACTTGCTTTCAACCTGTAATTCCTGACTGCAACAGGTAGTTGCCAACTCTTGTAACTGACAGGTTTGACTAGAAGCTGACCGTTCTTACTCCCACTGAACTTAATATTTGGCATTTGTATAAATTCAAAAGGCAAGATCGTACCTTTCTTATTAATGGGCCCTCTTTGTTCATTGATAATACAGTATCTCCATCAACAGGAAGTAATTGTGCCATACCTCAGAAAATAGACTCCTTTTATTTCCAAGCAGGGGAAAGCAGGAGAATTTTACCGCAAAGAGGCTACGAGCCCCTTCAAGGGATTTACCAGACGAGTGCTGGTGTAAGTTACAAAGACAGTGCTAGTCTCTACCCCGAGGAGCAGCCAGGACACTTGCCTGATGGCAGGTGGGGTAAATTGACTCTTTGTACTTGCAACTCAGGCATGTGAAGAATACAGCATCCCTCGAGTCCAGAGATTTGAGATCACCAGTGTTTATCCAGCCGGCATGATGGCGATGAGAGAAGAGAGAAACTTCAGAGCCAAGGAAGGTTTGACAGAGCCTTAAATCAATCCTGCCTTAGAATCGTGGAAAGTTAGATCAGGAAGGGACCTTAGAGACCTCTGCTCCACCACCCCTGTTTGACTGTGAGGAAGCCGAAGGCCCGCGCAGTTCAGGGATTCACCCATGGTCTTGCACTCCTGGCTAGGGACAGAGTCAGAACTGGAACTGGATAATCCTGACTCCGTTTCAGTAGTCTTAAAGCTGGCTGATGAGGAAATTTGACACCCCCCACTCTGAACCCATGTTCCCAAAGGTTTGCTGTATCCAGCTCGTGAATGCCCCTTTCTCTGAAAATTAGGCAAACAGGTTGGAATATTTTAGAAAGAAAACACTGGCTGTAAAGTGGGAAGAAATTCCTGTATGGACTTGCCAACTAGAAGCAAGTATTTGGCTTCCCCAAGACAAAGGAGAGTCTTAGTCATGAGGTTCAAGGTAGAAACTGATTGTGTCACCAGGCTGAGGGCAGACAACCTTTTTTGGAAGCAGTAGGCTGAAATTAGAACTGAATAAAAGAGTTTACAAAAGCTGGAATTTGGAGCTATCTCACAATACCGGGAGTTATTTTGTTTTTGTTTGCTTACTTTTGGTGAGGTATTTCAGGCACACAAACAAGAACAGAAACTGTGATGACCTCCTCGTACAGCCCAGCTGATCTCATTCCCTCCCTCCCTCCTGAATTTGGTGCTTATATTGCCACACCTGTTGTGTTTTTCCTATATATAAATGTACCCGTTAGCAATATTTAGTATTGTTTTCATATTTTAAGTGTTATATGAAGGCTATCACATTGCAGGTACCTTTCTGCAACTTGCTCTTTTTTTTTTTTTAGATTTGTGCTATGGATAAACAGGACGGCTCCAGTGAATATATCTTAACTGCTCTGTGGTATTGCACCGTAGGAATGTTTTAGCATTTACCTAATCTCCTATTGATGGCCATCTGGTGAGTTTCCAGGGTTTTTGTTTTGTTTTGTTTGCTGGTTTTTTAACCTTGCTATATAAACATTTTTATAGCACCCTCTCCTGATGCATGTGCGCAAGAGTTTCTTTAGTGACATTTACGAGGTCTTGGTGTGCACATCTTGAGCTGACAAAAAGATCTCAAAAATAAACAGCAAATACGAGTGTCCAACACTAACACTGTGTATTTCCAGAGTTTCTAATTTTTCACTAATCTGAAGAGTGTAAAGTGGTGTTTCTTTATGGTGTTAATGTGCATTTCCCTGGCCTCACGGGGCTGAAGATCTTTCCACGTGTTCACTGGCAATTCGGATCTCCTTTTCTGCCTGGGCCACTTTTCAGATGGGCTGCTTGTCTTTTTATTATTGATTTTTAGAAATTTTTCTTTAGTCAGGATATAAATCCTTCATCAGTTATATGCAGCCACTATCTTCTCCCAGTCTGGAGTGTGATTTTCACTTAATGGTGTCTTTTCATGATCAGATTTATCAATCTTTTCTTTTTTTTTTCTTAAAGATTTTATTTTTCCTTTTTCTCCCCAAAGCCCCCCAGTACATAGTTGTGTATATTTTTAGTTGTGGGTCCTTCTAGTTGTGGCATGTGGGACGCCACCTCAGCATGGCCTGACGAGCAGTGCCAAGTCCGCGCCCAGGATCCGAACCAGCGAAACCCTGGGCCACTGAAGCTGAGAACGTGAAGTTAACCACTCAGCCACAGGGCGGCCCCAATCTTTTCTTTTGTGATTTGTGCTTATTTCTTCTTCTTTTAAAAAAATCTTTCTCCTCTCCAAGGTCATAAAGATATTCTCCTATATTTCCCTCTAGTTTTTTTAAGTTTTGGTTTTTACAACCTTTAGATATTTTATACACCTAGAATTTACTTTTGTGTGAAGTGTGAGGTAGGAAACTAATTTTATTTTTTTTCAAAATCAACAACCAGTTGTTTTGAAACCTTTCCTTGAGAATGCTATCCTTTTCCCAAAAAGTGGGTAATTCACTTTTGACGTATATTCTTGATTCTCTGTGGGTTCTGTCAGGTTCTCCTTCCACCCCTGTGCCTTTCCACAGCACCATAATTACTATACCTTTATAGTAAATTGCAGTATCTGGAAGGTAAGCGCTTACCTGACAAGGGGGCACAATGCGCGCTAGCTGTGGTTGAGCTTCTCTCCTGAATCCCACCCAGGAGGATGCATGCCGCAGGGAGGAAAACCCAGAAGGAGGCAGTGGGATGGGCTGGTGGGGCAGAGGCTGAGTAGCAAAGTTGGAATCCGGGACCTGGAGCTCACTGTCCTGGAGCGGGGAACTCTGTGCTCTGTGGAGGCCTGCAGGGCCCTCCAGAGAGCACACGTGTCCCGTGAGAGAGCTAGGCCGTGGATGCCTGCCCACAGGAGGCCTCTGTGGTCAGTCCGCGTTACGAGGTAAACCGACAGCCACAGCAGGAGATTCCAGTTACTCCCAGTACAGGAAAAAGACATTTGCTCTGAAAATGAAGTTAAGGGAACAACTCCATTTATAATAGCATCAACGAGACTAAAATACTTCGAAATAGATTTAACAAAAGAAGTAGAAGACTTGCGCACTGCACGTTGTTGAAAGAAGTTAAGGAAGACCTAAGTAGATGGACTGGAAGACTTGTTGTCTGACCTACTACTCTCCAAGCTGATCCACAGATTCAGTCCAACCCCATCAAAATTTCAGGTGTCGTCTTTGTAGAAACTGACAAACTGCTTCTAACATTCTTATGGAAAGGCAGAGGACCAAGAAAAGCCAAAACCATCTTGGAAAAAAAGAACAAAGGTGGAGGACTCACATTCCTGATTTCAAAACTCACTACAAAGCTACAATAATCAAAGCAAGGTGGTGCTGGCCTAAGGACAGACGTATAGACCAATGGAATAGAATTGAGAGTCAAAAAACAAACCCAAACATCTATGCTCAATTGATTTTCAACAAGGTGCCAAGATAATTCAGTGAGGAAATAGAACAAATGGTGCTGGGACAATTGGGTAGCTACGTATAAAAGAATGAAGTTAGATCCCTACTTTACACCATACATAAAAAATTGGTATAAACCTAAAACTGCTCTAAAAAATAAAGTCAATTTAAATGTTAAAAAAAGATCAAAGACCTAAATAAAAATCTAAATAAAATCAAATCTAAATAAAAGTCTACAAAATAAATGTGGGAATAAATCTTCATGCCCTTGTCCTTGGATTAGGCAATGGTTTAGATATGACACCAAAAACAGGCAACAAAAGAAAAAAAAATAAACTGAATTACATCAAAATTTAAAACTATTGTGCTTCACAGGAGACTATTAAGAAAGAAAAAAAGACAATCAAAGCAATGGGAGAAAATTTTTTTTGCAAATCATGTATCTAATAAGGGTCTAGTATCCAGAATATGTAAAGAACTCTTACAACTCAATAATAAAAAGACATGTAACCTAATTTAAAAATGAGCAGAGGATATGAAGAGACATTTCTCCAAAGAAAATATACAAATAGCCAATGAGCCCATGAGAAGATGATCAACATCCTGGGTCATTAGGGAAATTCAAATCAAAACTACATTGAGACACCACACACACCCACTGGAATGGCCATAATTTGAAAATCAAAAAAGCCAACAGAAAATACCAAGTGTTGGTGAGGATGTGGAGGAGTTGGAACCCTCATCCAATGCTCCTGGGTATGTAAAACGCTGTAGCTGCTTTGGAAAACAGTGTGGTACTTTCTCAAAAAGTTAAGCAGAGAGTTAGTATATGATGCAGCAATTCCACTCTGAGGCATATCCCCAAGAGAATTTAAAGCATACATCTACACAAAACCTGGCACAGTCAGGTTCACAGCAGCATTATTCATAATAGCCAAGAAGAGGAAGCAATCCGAATGTCCATCAGCTAATGAATGGACAAATAAAATGTGATCCAGCCAAGGAATGCTGGATAATAATGTATATTATTATATATTGGAATAATTATATGTTACAATCCAATAATTATATATTGGAATGGTGGAATTATTCAGCCGTGAATAATAAACCTTGAAAATATCCTAAGTGAAAGTAGGCAGAAATGAAAGGCCACATAGTATATGTATTGTCCATTTATATGTAATGTCCCAAATAGGCAAATGCAGAGAGAAAGTAGATTAGCGGTTGCCTAAGGCTGGGGTAGGGGGAGGGTTGTGGGGTGAGGAGGCATTGAGGAGTGGCTGCTAATGGGTACTGGGTTCCTTTTTGGGGTGATGAAAATGTTCTCGCATTAGATAGTGGTGTTGGTTGCACGACCTTGTGAATATACTAAAAAATACTGAATGGTACACTTTAAAATGGAGAGTTTTATGATATGTGAATTATATCTCAATAAAGAAATGAATCACCTCAAAAGAACAAAAGACATTTGCGTTTCTTCACCCTCTGTTTTCCTTCTCCAGCACCCGAGGAGCAGAACCTGGAAGTGGGACCAGTGGGAGGGAGTCAGTCAGCAGACCTCGCCTCACACGAGGTCCCCGCTGCCCGTCCTGTGAGTAGGGAGGGGGTTGCTTTGCATTAGATGAGAAAATAGAGTTAAACTGAACTGGATCGTTCTACTGACTAAAAGAGATGGACATGCAATGATAGGGGCCTCAAATGGCCTTGCGGCCTGGGAAAGGAAGGCTTTCAGAGCAAGTTGAAGGCGGGGATGGTACAAGAAGTCAAATCACTCTGTTTGAGTTTTACCGGATTGACGCTTCTCAGTAAAGGGTCACATTGATGTAGTGCGTGGGGAAGAGCTTGTGCAGGCAACGCCGCATGAACCAAAGCTACCAGTGGTGTTCTTGTTTGGGGAGGACGGGGTACGTGCTCTGAAAGGATGAGGGTCAGACAGCACAGTGCGCCTGGGTCCTGACCTCTCAGTACCAGTCCTTACGAAAAGGAGTCGGGGCTCGCAGAAACAGCTGGTTCCCACCGGAGCTGGGAATGGGCAAGGCAGGACTGGGGAAACTCGTTTCAAAAAAAAGCAAATACCGGCCAGCCCAGTGGCGCAGCGGTTAAGTTCGCACGTTCCGCTTTGGCAGCCCGGGGTTCGCTGGTCCAGATCCTGGGTGCGGACCTACACACTGCTTATCAAGCCGTGCTATGGCAGGCGTCCCACATAAAATAGAGGAGGATGGGCACGGATGTTAGCCCAGGGCCAATCTTCCTCAGCAAAAAGAGGAGGATTCACGGCAGATGTTAGCTCAGGGCTAATCTTCCCCCCGCCCCCTCCAAAAAGAGCAGGTTTTTAAAGACCGGATTGTGTCAAAGAGACACAGAAGCAAGCTGAAGGGGACTCAACGAGCCAAGGTTGGGGTAATTTCCACTAACCCATTATTAGGAAATTGTTAATTAGATGGAAGGAATTAAGCGTTTATCCTACCTTTCCAGTGAGAAATGTATTTCAGAGTAAACAGACATTCCCAAGTGATGAGGGAAAGCTCTTCTGTAGAGAGGAATGCCAGCTAATAAATGTAGGACCAATGAGAGAACAAAGTTTGAGTTTCATCAACCCTTACGAAATAGTTGATCCAGACAATTACCAGCAGATACCAAAACCATGAGGTGAAAGTCTGATGCAGCACTTTCTGTCTGCATGGTGTCATATTATCCCGTGATAAACATAACTGTTCAATAGACGCTGTCACCGCTTTAACACGGGTCACTCCCAGCGTTGCTAACAGGGGCAACACCACACGCTGTACCTCCCCATGTGATGCAGTATGTCATAAACAGCATCGCCTGTGAAATGATTCTTGGCAAAATATTCAAAATCAGACCAATTAAGACTTAGATCTAACTTACCATTTTTGGGAAATATAGGAGAAAGAAGAAAAAAATAACTGATATCAAAAGGAAACAATCGGGTGAATCTAGAAGTTGAAACATTCTATAAGACAACCGTTCTGACCTCTTCAACAAGTCATTGTAATGGGGAAAAATGAGAGGCAGAGAGGCTGTT